AGGACTAGATTACTTCACCAGTGATTTCTACCAAACTTTTAAAGAGGAATTAATACCTATCCTTAATCTCTTCAAAGAAATAGAAGAGGATGTAAGTCTTCCTAACTTACTCTGTGAGGCCAGTACTATTCTTACACCAAAAGCAAAGAAAGACATCGTTAGAAACAAAAGCTACAGACTACATTCACTATTAATAAAGATGCAGAAAATTTCAACAAAATACTATCACAGCAGCAGCAAATTAAAAGATTTATACAAAAGAATTATGTGACCAAGTGGGATTATGTCAGGGAGGCAAGGGTGGTTTAATATGTGAAAGTCATTCAATGTAAGACACCACATTGATAAACAAGAACCATGCAGTCATCTCTGTTGATGCTAAAAAAGTATTTGACAAAATCCAACACCATTTTATTATAAAGACAAGGCATGTGAGGAAACTTCCTCAGACTGTTAAGGACATCTCTGAAAAACCTATAGCTAACTACATACTTAAGACTGAAAGGCTGAAAGCTTGCCCTCTAAGATCAAGAATAAGGCAAGAATGCCTGCTCTTGCCAGGCTTCCAGGTGTCTCAGTGGTAAAGAATCTACCTTCCAATGCAGAAGACATAGGAGATGATCCCTGGGTTGGGAACAGTCCCTGGAGTAGGAAATGGCAACCCTCTCCAGTATTCTTGCCTGGAGAATTCTATGGCCAGAGGAGCTTAGCAGGTTACAGTCCATGGGGTTGCAAAGAGTTGGATGTGACTGAGCCCATATGCATGTCTGCTCTTGCCACTTTGATTTAACATTGTACTGGAAGTGCTAACCAATGCATTTAGGTAATAAGGGGGAAAATGGCTTTTGTATTTCTGTTCAAAGAGGACATGATCTTATATGTAGAAAATTTAAAAAAATTCACCATAGGAGAAGGAAATGGCAACCCACTCCAGTATTCTTGCCTGGAGTATCCCATGGACGGAGGAGCCTGGTGGGCTACAGTCCACGGGGTCGCAAAGAGTTGGATATGACTGAGTGACTTCACTTTCACTTTTAACCCTCAGCTGAGACTTTCAGCTTTTGTGTTTGCTATTGATTGTTTTCTTGAGTTCTCAAAGACCTGTGACCATATTTTTTTTTAAGTTGCCTGTTTTCTAATTGCATCATTTTACACACTGTTGTCTAATAATATGTGGTATTTAGAATGCCTTCTTAGTTATTTTGAGCAGCCATTGCTTGTATTTTCTTAGCACCTCCTTGATTTTCTCTCGTGATCTCATCTGACAGGGAAATGCAGCTTTTTTGTTTGCCCTGTCTGCTTACTGGACCGTCTGAGTCAGTGTTCTAACTAATCCCTGATGGTCTCTGAGCTACTGTTCTACCAGACTCAGTAGTTATGTGCTTTAGGAATTTTTTGGTAGAATTGGTCCTATTAGGAGACTCTTGATGTCACCTTTGTTATCTTAAAAGCTGGTCCCTTCACTGAGGCTCTTAATTTTTTGAAAACTTGGTGCTATTTCAGCTGAAAAAAATTGGCAAGACTATTTAAAAAATTGAGGGAAGCCATTTAAGAAATTGAAAAGTAATCACAAACAACATTGGGTAGTTGTGACTTTTAGTTCTGTATCAGTTGAATTTTTGTGCTCTTTTCCCTGTGTACGTGGTGATTCTATTTTTCTCCAATAAAACTTTTTATTAAAAAAAAAAATCCACCATAGAACTATTGGAGCTACTAAAAGACTTCAAAAAAGTTGCAGGAAACAAAATCAACATAAAATCAGTTGTATTTTTATACAATAGCAATGAACAATCTGAAGAGGAATTAAGAAAACAGTTCCATTTATAGTAGCATCAAACATATTAAAGCATTTAAGAGTAAATTTAACCAAGGAAGTGTAAGACTTGTACACTGAAAACTACAAAGTATTATCAAAAGAGGTTAAAGAAGACCTAAATAAATGAAAAGACATCTCATGTTTATGGGTTGGAACACTTATTATTGTTAAGTTGCTAGTATTTGTCAAGTTGATGGACGAATTCATTGCAATCTCTATCAAAATTTCAATTGCTGGTTTTGCAGAAATGGACAAAATATCTTAAAATATGATCTTAAAAATATGGAATTACAAGAGACTTCAAGTAGATGAAACATGAAACAATCTTGAAAAAGAACAAAGTTGGAGGACTCATTTCCTGATTTCAAAACTTATTATGAAGTTACAATAACTAAATCATAAGGATAGTCTTCTAGATTAATGGAATCAAACTGAGAGCTCAGAAATAAACTCATACATCTATGGTCAATTGATTTTGTTTAAAAAATCCAATGTGTGTTCTCTCTTTTTTTAAAAGAAAAAAATTTATTTATTTGGCTGCCTCAGGTCTTAGTTGTGGCATGCAAGGTCTTTGTTGCAGCATGCAGGATCTTTGTTGCATCAGGCAGTCTCAGTGACTCTGCAGTATGTGGGGTTCAAGTTCCCTGACCAGGGATTGAACCTGCATCCCCTGAACTGCAAGGGAGATGCTCAATCACTGGTCCACCAGGGAAGTCCCAATGGTCAATTGATTTTTGAAAAGGTTCCAAGACCGTTCAATGGGGGAAAGAATAGTTTTCAACAAACAGTAACAGCTTGATAACCACATAACAAACATATGAAGTTAGACCCTTGCCTCACACTGTATACAATTAATTAATTGGTAAAAAAAGAGCTAAACTTAAAAGATAAAACTATAAAACTTTTAGGATGTTCATCACTATCAATTTGGCAGTGGTTTCTTAGACATGACAGCAGAAGCACAAGCCACAAGAGGAAAATTCAGTTCAGTCTCTCAGTCATGTCAGACTCTTTGCGACCCCATGGACTGCAGCACGCCAAGCTTCCCATCCATCACCAGCTCCCAGAGCTTGCTCAAACTCATATCCATTGAGTTGGTGATACAATCCAACCATCTCATCTTCTGTCATCCCCTTCTCCTCCTGCCTTCTATCTTTCCCAGGATCAAGGTCTTTTCCAAGGAGTCAGTTCTTCGCACCAGGTGGCCAAAGTATTGGAATTTCAGCTTCAGCATCAGTCCTTCCAATGAATATTCAGGACTGATTTCCTTTAGGATGGACTGGTT